AAGCCGGATTGAAGGAGCAGCATCGTTGGTGCTGGTGCTGGTGGTCGTGGGTGCTGGTGGTCGTGGTGCTGGTGGTCGTGGTGCTGGTGCTGGTGCTGGTGAAGATGGGGCCAGTGGGTTGCTGGGATGTGGTTGGAGAATCAGTGGAAGGTTGTACTGTTGGACGGGGAGGAGGGCAAACAAGGACAGTGCTGGGAGGAAGAAGGGGCCGGAGGATGGAACGTGTGGGTAACGGGATGGAGAGCGTGGCCGTGAGGGTGACGTGTTATCAGCAACGGCCGAGGGAGATCGGAGAACAGCCGGGCCGGGGAGGCGGGTGATGAAGGAGAAGAAAATCGATGGGAAATGGCTCTAAAAGTCAAGAATGATGAGCGCTCAGTGCAGCAGACAGTGCTGTGCGGGGTACAGACGGGGGAGGACAGGGCTGGAGAAGGCCGGTGCCAGGTGAGGAGGTGAGAGGAGGTCAGTGGAAGGTGGTCCCCTCCAGGGTGACCCCGCGAAGGGTGGGCTGTGGGAAATGGCGCCGTTGGGTCGTGAAGAATGGAGGATGGGAGAGTGAAGACGCGGACGGCGCTGCTGGGTGTGGGGAGGCCGGGTTGGAGGGAAGGATGATTGGGGGGTGGGGAGGGAACGGCAGTGGAAGGTGACGTCACTGGTGGTCGGGGATGGACAATCGCCCGTGGGGGTAATACAGGAGGGGTTGGTGGTGGCCTTAGGTGATAGAGGGTGGGGAGCACGGGGGCCCCACTGACCTGTGGGGGGTGTGTTCCAAGACCACAGTGGAAGCCTGAGCCTGTAGCTAGTACTGAGCCCTGGATATACGACGGTTTCCTTATACATACGTACCAGCTACAATGTCTGGTTTATAAAGTAGGCGCAGTAAGAGATTAACAGTAGCTAACAAACACTAGTGATAAAGTAGAACAGCTATAACAAGATACCATAACAAAAGCTATGAGTGGCTTTGGGGACACGTGAAGTGAGACTTGGGTCACTGGAACGTGAGCTCTGTGGTGCCGCCACAGTCGATCTGATGACCAAGACGGCCGCTAAGCGACTGACGGGCGGGAGCGTATGCAGCGCCGACACACCGGGCAAAGGGATGCCCCGTACCAGACAGGACAGAGCAGGGCGTGAGGTTTCGTCACACTCCTCAGTGTCACACCATCTAAAACTTACCAACTGGGGAAATGCCAGAAATAAGCAATTCCTATTTTGGACCCTAGTTGACTGCCGGTAACTGAAAGCGAGGAAACCGAAACTGCAGATAAGGGAGGGGCTGCTGT